AGTAGAAATGATTTTAAGAGGCAACCACATTCTTTACTAAGCTTCTCTCAAAATAGCTCAATATCAGTCATGTCAAAGATAAAATTATCTTTTTTTCTGTTTTGCATATAGGGTTATCGTTACCATCTTCCTAAATTCCATATATATGTGTTAGTATACTGTAATAGAACAGACTTGTGGACTCTGGGAGAAGGCGAGGGTGGGATGTGTCAAGAGAACAGCATCGAAACATGTATATTATCTAGGGTGAAACAGATCACCAGCCCATGTTGGGTGCATGAGACAAGTGCTCGGGCCTGGTGCACTGGGAAGACCCAGAGGGATCGGGTGGAGAGGGAGGTGGGAGGGGGGGACTGGGATGGGGAATACATGTAAATCCATGGCTGATTCATTTCAATGTATGACAAAAACCACTGCAATGATGTAAAGTAATTAGCCTCCAACTAATAAAAATAAATGGGAAAGAAAAACAAAACAAAACAAAAAAAATTATCTTTTTTTGATACTCATCAGTGTTTTTTGATGGCTGTAATTATTGAAACAAAGTACTGGGGGATTTGGGACTAATCTCTAATTTTCTTAAATAAAAAAATAAAGAAGGCAGTGAAAGTTTAGCTGTCATACATGCTGAAAGTGCTGTGATATACAGGCCATTTAAACCTTTTTGCCTTCTATATAAAAATAAAGTGTTTGTCGCTCAGTTGTGTCCAACTCATTGCGACCCCATGAACTGTAGCCTGCCAGGCTCCTCTGTCCATGGGATTTTCCAGGCAAGAGTACTGGAGTGGGTTGCCATGCCCTCCTCATTGTCATATAAAACGTGTCTTTAATATTTATTTAAAAATAAATTTTAAAGGAAAGCAAGAGCTATGACAGCTTATAAATATTGAGTTTCTATTGTGTTTTAATTTCACCATATTGCTTTTTTTTTCTTATGAAATTTATATGATCATTATAAGATTTAGGTTCTGTGGTTGAAATTGTCATTTGTTTTCATATTTTTTGCTTATAATTGTATTTGAATTTTTTAATGTGGCTATGTACAAAGGCATTAAGGTCACTTTTGGTTTTCACTGTTGTAAATAGTGCTTGATTGAAGAGCTTTTAATCTATGAAGTTTTTTCTTCTTCTCCAGAGTTTTAGTGAGATTAATTTTTGTTACTGAGAGTTTAAGCCAGCATATATAAGCATATCAATTCTGTATTATCTGAATGTTTCCAAAGAAATTGCACTAATTAATTGCATTTCACTATTTTCCTTATATTTGCTTAACTCTTCTAAAGTATATTTTGTAAAATTACTAAGTGTTTTTAAATTTTTAGCTTAATATTCCTAATGATAGCATAAATTATTTTAGAAAAGAATATGTAACTGGTATTATGATAGGAGATTAGTTAGTGAGAAATTGTCACTTTAACGTTACCCTCTTGGTATTTTTGTTTTGAATAAAACAATTTTCTCTCCTGAAAAAATAAAATGAAAAGTATTGGACTTCTTGGTGGAGATACTGTAGAAGGTGAGGGGTTAGGAGACTGATTTTGCCTCTTATTTAATAATCTGGTTTGGGCTTCGCTAGTGGTCAGCTAGTAAAGAAACCACCTGCAATGTGGGAGACCTGGGTTTGATCTCTGGTTGGGAAGATCTGCTGGAGAAGGAAACAGCTACCCACTCCAGTATTGTGGCCTGGAGAATTCCAGGGACTGTATAGTCCATGGGATCGCAAAGAGTCTGACACAACTGAGCAACTTGCACTTTCTTTTTTTTCTTTCTTTCTGGTGACCTCGAGGAAGGAGCTAAATCTGCACATTTCAGGTTTTGTATTTGAGGATTATATTGCTTGGAAAGAAGCAACATTGATGTTTGGGGATTATATTGAAGCACTATGCCTGTCTGGGGATTTAAACCCTTCTAAAGGACAGATTACCTGTTTTTAGAAGTTTCAGAAGAGAATAGTAGGAAATAATTTAAGAAAAGTACTTCTGTGATGTTGGTGTTTACTATGAATGATTGTGCTGTTTATACATAATACTAGGAAAAGTAAATAATATTAAAGCATGTATTTGTTTTGTCCAATTGGAACATTTTTGTGCGCAAGGCACGGAAATGTATTGAGGCACATGTTGTAAAAATTAACCCATGCCTGTTTCTTAGGACTTGCAGTGTTTTTATGGTATCGTATGAGGCTTTGTTGTACTTGAACGCTGTTAAATACTATTGACATGTAGTACATTTATAAGTAATTATTAGAATAAAACTTTCATTAAAGTATGCTTTGCTGCCTTTCATTTCACGTAATGGATTTTAGTATGACAATTTTCATTAAGATATTTTAATGATTTTTAAATTAAATGCAGGCAGAGAGAGTGATTATTTACTGTTAATAGTTCACAAATGTATTAGTGTTTACTCCTGGTATATTACCTGCTTTTTAGTAAATGTTAACCATACTGCGGCTGCCGCTAAGTTGCTTCAGTCGTGTCTGTGTGACCCCATAGACGGCAGCCTACCAGGCTCCTTTGTCCACAGGATTTTCTAGGCAAGTGTACTGGAGTTGGTTGCCATTTCCTTCTCCGAATATTAACCATAAGATTTATTGATTTGATATGTAAGTTAGACTAAGGATACATTTCTTTTAATGATTTGATGAATTTTTCTTAACACTAGGGGGCACTCATAATCTGTGAATTCCTACCTAAATTACTCAGGTGCAGAATGTGGAATGAAATTAAATTGTTTGAAAATATTTCATTGCAAACTGAATGTTGCCTTCAGAAAGAATTCGGATTATCAAGTTCATTTTGCATAGTACTGTAAATATAAGTGATTCTTAGTAAGATTCTTAAGAATAAGCAAAGTTTATAAAATGAAATACTGTAGATTGGAGGACATTAAAGTATTTCTGTGCTCTGTTCCTTTTCACATTGGTTTTCCAAATGATTATTTTAAAAATCATTGTTCTTAATATATTTCTGATTTAAAAAATTCTAGCACAGTGTTTTGCTCATAGCAGGTACTTAGGATATATCTGAAGAAATGAAGATCAATTCAGGATGTGACTGATGCCTGCTACCATTAGTAAAAATTTTTAAGCATTTGAAAACCAGCAACATGTTTTTTTTTCCCCATTTATTTTTATTAGTTGGAAGCTAATTACTTTACAATATTGTAGTGGTTTTTGCCATACATTGACATGAATCAGCCATGGATTTACATGTACCTGATCCCCCCTCCCACCTCCCTCTCCACCCGATCCCTCTGGGTCTTCCCAGTGCACCAGGCCCGAGCACTTGTCTCATGCATCGAAACATGTATATTATCTAGGGTGAAACAGATCACCAGCCCAGCAGCATGTTTTTGCTACATCTGGGAAACTTATTTTAGGTGTTCTCATTCATTGTTTCTGAAATCAGGATATTGCTGATGCCACCAAGAAGTGTTTTGTCGGAGGTATATTCCTAAGATTTTTGGGTTTTTTTTAATTAGAAGATTCTCTTGAATTTAAGCTTTGTGTGGATTCAGTAGCTAGTAGACAGAATGTGCATCATTATAATAGCACTATTAGTGTGTGTCAGCACTGTTTTAGGTGCTTTACATGTATTAATTTCTCATCACCACTCTGTGAAGTAGGTACTTCTATCTCTGTTTTATAGGTAAGGAGATTGGGCACAGAAAAGGTAAACAGTTCACTGGGTTTAAACTTAGGCAGTTTTGTTCTGTAGTTTGTGCTTCTAAATCACTGCCATACATTGCTTTTCCAGAGAAAGGAAACTTAACATTTCAAGCGAATTAGTATTTCAAGCTCAGGTTGTTAAGTGGGTATAATTTTATAGTGTACCGCATAGGGAATGTAGTCAGTAATATTGTTAATAACTCTGTGTGGTGACAGATGGTTACTGGCCTTATTGTGATGGTCATTGTAATGTGTAAAAATATCAAATCCCTATGTTGTATATAGCTGAAATTAATAATGTAAGTCAATTATACCTCAGTAAAAATAGATACAGTTTTAACTACCTAAATGATAGACACTTATCATTTCTCTTCTGGAAAATGTCATAGAAATTTAAAGTTTGAAAGGGGCCTTACTCTGTTTAGAGGAAGAAGTTGCCTCCGAGATAGGTAGTTACCAACATACCCATCTATGCGGCAGTTTCTTTGTGGAAAGGGATTAGAATCACAAGTAAACGTTTTGAGTTTCAGTAAAGTAGAAAAAATATGGTAATGTGGAAAAAATATTTGACAAGAATTTCAGATGGCTTGAATTTTATTCTTGACTCCTCATTTACAAGCCTGTGTCCTCAGAGACAGTGTTTGTGTTATGACTATAATGAAATCTTCCTTAATTAGCCTTATGGTCATTGTGAAGATCAGTGAGATAATGGATTGAAGCTTTTCAATAAGCTTTAAAGCCCTATACAAATAAATATATATATTATATAGTGTGTTATTTTTATAACATGCGATATCTTTATAAATAATAATTTGTTTTTAATTATTTGTGGTATCTTTGTAAACTATCAGCTTGTAAACTTTGTAACTGTAGACTATCAGCAACGCTAAACTAGATCTCTAAGACATTATTTTGTTAGGCTGTGTGTTACTTTGCAAGATTTTTTTTACACTTTTTATTTTCTTAAAGCAAACACTTTAAAAAATTTTCTAACAATAAATGAAAAATTATATCTTTGTTTTGCTGATAAAAAACATAACAGTAGCATGTATTGAACATATGTGTTGAAAGTAGCATAATAGGATTGTCCTCAGACTGGATTTACTGATTTAATTGAAATGAAAAACAGAATTTGGTAAACTGGAACTATTTTATTTGGGGGCATGGTGAGAGGTATGGGTTTGTTTTCTTAAACTTCCAATAAGACACACAGTTAAAGTTTTCTGTTTATTTTTTTTACAGGAATAATAATGTATTTGTGGCCTTGGACGTGAAGCAGTCAGTCTTCTGTTGCTATTAAATAGCGTCAGGGACTGATGTTGTGGGAAGCATGGACCTAATGAACGGGCAGGCAAGCAATGTTAATATTGCTGCTACTGCTTCTGAGGTAAGACATTTAAGAAATTTATTGTAAAATTTCTTACCTGGCATTCTGATTTTTAAAGCATTATGGTTGGTTACAGATTTTAAATCATAGCTTGAGAAAAGGGTTACAGGCTTTTCAGATTTTTTAAAAACTATTTTAATTGTACCATCCATGTGTTCATTATACATTTTAGGAGTTACTCCCTACCTACTTAATATAACTGACAGATAATGACTACTTAAAACCCTTTTTTAGTTTTAGTTAAGGATGCATAGGATTTCTTTTTAAGGTGTTTTCACATTATATGAACCTTGAGGGCAGTAGAACAAGTGGGGCAAAGAATGACCATGTTGACACTGTCAGATCCCTTGATTCCAAGCCTATTGAAGGAGACTGAAGAACCATTAGGCTGGAATGTTGACAGGGCTCTTCTGGTGGTGTAGCTCACACTGTTAGAGATGGAGATGAAGACTGAACTAGATGCTCATCTCTCTGGTTAATGGATTATGATTTTATTTTTGCCACCCCCCCTTTTTTTTTTGCGAGGTCTATAGATCTAGGGTACTTGCCTGCTTTCCTTAATACTTTCAGTATCTAGCTTGTATATCTCCCCTTTATTTTATCCTTACCGTAGAGGATAAGAAAAAATGTTTGATGATTTTACACCTTGACTTCACAGCTCCTTGGTAATTTCAACTTCATTTTGCCCAAGCCAATTTACGTAGGCCTTGCTGTCATTAGAATATTCTCTGTCAGTAGTTTCAATTATTTTTCCTATGTAGATGATTTCCATGTTTTTAACTCTAGCTCTGGCTTCTGTTACAGATTTTATTAAGCATTTGTGATGGACCAGACATTTTACTTATAATATGAACAAAGTCAGTTTACTTGTTTCTCTTCTGCTGTACTACTTGTAAAGGAAATGGCTCACCCCCCTTCTCTGACTTCCATCAGTAACATCACTATTTCCTTAGCATCTAAGTTCAGATCTGTAGGTTTTGCACTAACCTGCTTCTCCTTTGCCCAGCACAGCTCTTTTCACATCGCAGCAGGGAGAGTCCACTAGCAGAACATAAGTTGGAATCCTCTGTGATGTAACCATCAGTAGCATCTTGGGTCCTGCCTGCACTCTAGTGGAGAGGGTCACACAGGCCAGTGACCACCAAGAGAGGGAGAATGCCTGGCAGCCGGCTTAGAGCCTGGCCACCACACCTTATCTCTGGGAGCCAGTCCTCTTCTCCTTATTTCCACTAGTAGCATCTTAGTTTGGTCATTTATTATTTCTTGTCTAGGCTATCGTAGTGACTTTTTATTTTGATCTTGCACTTCTGTTCTCTGCTGTTTTTGGTCCATTTGATTATATAACTCAATTTTATATAACCTTATATAAAAAATATATATGCTTATATATATTATATATAATATCATATATGTTATATATTTAATTATATATTGTATGTTAATGTATAATATCATATCATTATATTATATTTATAATTATATAAACATATATTAATATAATATCTTGATTATATACTATTAAATATTATATATTTGATATTATACATTTAAGTATATAATATATACTAATATATTATAATTATATATAATTTTGTTTGTAATATATAATTTATATAAAATATAAAATAGTTTATAAAATATATAAAAATTTTATATATTTAAATTAAAGTTTTTTCTATATTTTATATTTATAAAAATATAAAAATGTTTTATAAAATGTAAAAATATTTTTATATTTTATAAAAATATATAAAACATAATTATATATTTATATATAATATATATAACTCAATAACTCATATAACTCAATTTTAATATTCTTAAAATACAGTTGTTATACTTTATTGTGTTTCCGAACTGTCCATGGTTCCTCATTACCTACTAACTAAATACCCATGACATTCAGCCCTGCATTTAGGACTTTTCTCAAAATGGCCTTAAATTTTCTTTCTAATGGATTTAACTACCACTGATTCTCTACTTGAAATTTTTATTCTAATGAAAGAATACTACATCTTGCTGATGTTTGTATAAACCCTTATTTTTTTCTATTTTAAATGCTACAGTTATATGAACATTTTCTCCTGATTCCTTAAACAGGAGCTTTCTTCTTTCTGAAGCTATTACTTTAAAAAACATTTTTAAAATCATTTTTCCTATAAATTTGTATATAGCTTTTATTCCTCCTTGAGGCATGGATTAAATATGTTTGTAAATATGTCCATATTGCATGTATATTTACTTGGTATCTTTATAATCATATTTCTTAACTTTGTTAAATATATGTTGGTATATGATGGTATATTTGACTTTGTGTCCTGAAATATATGAGATAATATTATAGGAAACAGTACAGAATTGCTTGTTAAATAAAACAGATCATTTCACTTGTATAAAAAATTATGTTGGCTTTTCTAAAAGTAGATGAATTCCGTGAGACCTCAGAGTAGTATAATCCAGTATATGAGAAGTAAGGGTAGAAAGTCTGCCTTTTAAATTGTCTTCCTGCTATGTCAAGAAAATAAAATTAAAAATATGTATTTTTCTACCTTCTCTTAAAATAAAGATGTATTAGCATATCAGAATTCAAGCTTCTCAGAAATGGGTACCCTTACCCTTCTATCTTTACCTTTTAGACCTAACCTGTGCTAAAGCGTCTGGTATCAGTAGAGGGTTGGTGAACTTTTTTCATATGTTTAGAAGTGTCAATAGTTTTTTCATCTTTCAGTGGATAAAGAATGACTACTGTGAACTTAGTGTACATTATGTCTCAGTACTACTTAGCTTCGTATCAATACCAGCCTATTTATTGCCAGTGGGGAAGCAGATAGAAGCACATCACTCATAATTTTTTAAGCCCCCTGCTAATGGTTTGTAAGAAGGAAAGGAGGAAAATGATTATTCATTTTGATAAGCATTAAGATTGCCATTATGATCTGCTCACTTTTTTTGAATGAGTTAGAAACTTGGAGAAAATTGCCAAGTTAAATTTAAAATGAGTATATTTATTATTTGGTAGTTACTGGATTAGTATATACTGTTTAACTGATGTCTATTTGAATTATTGACATGAATAAATTTCTGTTAGTCTTGGAATATAAAATAACATTGTTGACATATTGTAAGCTAATCATAGTTACAGAGATCAAACACATGAAATAAGATAAATATATGAAATCCATTTATGAGACTTTGGGTTTCTGCTCAGACACATAAAAAGCTTGGAATTCATGACTCCTGTCCTCACAGCTTGAAAAAGGCTGAACAATCTGAAAACCTGCTCTGTTGGAGAACTGGTGTCACAGAGCACATTGACCAGTGATGCCCTGAGAACTGGAGAGAGAAGCAAATGCAGAGAATCACTGTTTACCAAGAGCAGAAGTCACTTGAGTCAGGCAAGGGCAGGAAAATGTACTCTTGTTGAAAAGCTGCTAGAGGCTCTGCGTGGACTAGCTTGAGGGTTAAGATCTCCTGAGGGCCCAGTTTTAGGCCTCCCAGCCCACTTTTGTGAATTTTACCTCCAGGAGCACCACCAAGTTTTCACAGTGAAGATCATAGAAAAATCCCTCATGCTTCCAGCTGGAGGAGGGGAAGTAACCATTTTGAAATATACTAGGGGAAAGTAATCATCCTGAAATATGCCCAGCATGTTCTTTTCTCCACCTGTCCTCAGGGGAGACTTTACCAGATCCTAACCTACCTGGGGAAAGAGAAATACCCAATTCCGAGCCCTCTAGCCTTCCTGTCTTACTTTCTAAGGGGAGTCTGGGGTACTGAGAATCACCTGAGGTCACAGCCCAGGGGCACAGGCTCACTGAAGTAACAGACTGTAGGGCGATGGAACATGTTTCCTCTTCGTACTTCCCACACCTTACCACCACATCCACAGGGTGCCTGTATGGTAATAAAGAATCACAGCCTAAAGAACTGCAAAGCACATACTCTCATCTAAGGAGTTTCTAGGGAAACCCAGAGAGAAAAACAAGGACACTACAGGAAAGTTAAGGCACCTCTAGCCACAACAAATAGTAAACAACGTAACTCCTATCTAGATAAACATAAACTCTTACACTAAAGGCCTACTTACCTCAGTTTCTGTTACCCACTAAGTCAAATCTGACTTTCAACAAATTTTAAGACATGCTGAAAGATACCAGAAAAACTTTTATTGAAGAGGCAAAGCAAACAATGCGGTAAGAGACTCCAGATATGGCAAGAAATTTTGGAATTAACAGGATGAGAATTTAAATAACTATGATTAGTAATGTTAACAGCGCTAGTGGGAAAAAATGGACAACATGCAAGAATAGATGGGTAATATAAGCAGGAATATTAAAACTCTTAAGAATTAAAAGGAAATGCTGGAAATCAAAACTGTTGTACCAGAAATGAAGATCACTTTGATTGACTCACCAGTAGAGTGATGACCAGCAGACACTTAAGGAAAGAATCAGTGAACCTGAAGACATGTCAGTAGAATCTTCCCAAGCTGAAGTGCAATGAGTAAAACGGAACTCAATATTCAAGAATGGTGGGGCCCATGACAAAAGGTGTAGTGTACACATAATGGAACATCCGAGGAGGAGAAAGAGGAAGGAGCAGAAGAAATATTTGAAGTAATGATGGTGCAGAATTTTCCAAAATTAATGACTGATCCCTTCCTTTGTAATGATTTTGATGTTTAGTTGCTACTGAAAAGGGTCACAAAGAGTCTGACAGGACTGAGCAACTGAACTGAACTGCACTGAACTGAACTGAAAGGGAGGGGAAAAGTAAAAATGAAACATAATGACAAGTGCTCAAAACTGATGTATAATAGCTGTTCAGTTGACTTACATATATTATACCTCTGTAATTGAAACTTTGGTTAATTTTTTGTGTCATTGACTGTAGCCTGATATTCTACCACCATTTAACAGAACATGATCTGAATGTTCTTACATTGCTTTTTCTTTGATTTCAGTCAGTAATTTGCAAAATGCATCTTTATTTTGTAGTACAGATGAAGTGGAAATTTAACAGAAATAAGGTTTTCAGAGCCAAAAGCCACCTTTTGTTCTACATATGGCAACAACAAATTCAAAATTAAGCAGTAACCTTAAAGCAGAAAACACATTTGTACTGTAATAGGAAGGGCAGTGTCAATTGTACTGTCACAGACCGACATTCACTTGACAGATAAGACTGGGTTATTTAGTTAATGGAATTTTAAATGTTTTCCTGTGACTTATATTAGGATAATAATTTATCTTTTTCTTGATAAACAGTTTTAAAAATTATAGAGGCGTGTATCCTCCCCCCCCCCCTTTTTTAAATCTCATTTGAAAATCACTGAACTTGTTAAAATCTTTCATTTCTATTGGAAATGATAGGAGGTCAGGGTGAGGACACTGACAGGAAAATGACTTACTAGCAAACCTAAAAATCTAAAGTTGAGGTTAAATTTAGGAACTGACTCATTTGAAAAGACCCTGATGCTGGGAAAGGTTGAAGGCAGGAGGAGAAGGGGACGACAGCGGATGAGGTGGTCAGATGGCATCACCAACTCAGTGGACATGAGTTTGAACAAGCTCTGGGAGTTGGTGATGGACAGGGAGGCCTGGCGTGCTGCAGTCCTTGGGGTCGCAAAGAGTAGGACACGACTGAGAGACTGAACTGACTGACTGAGGTTAAATTTTACATTGCCCAACCCTTTGCCTAGTGCTCTTCCAACTTAGCAGTCTGTTCCGACTAACTTTTCTACAGAATTTGTTAACTCAGTATTCTTAGCTTCCTCAGTTTTAAAGGCAGTCTAGTTTCCATGATACTGACTGCAAGACAGTTTTTCAAAGTGGCTTCATTTTTTTTTTTTAATTTACCAGAAAAGTAGCAGTTCTGAATCATTAAGTGACAAAGGTTCTGAATTGAAGAAAAGTTTTGATGCTGTGGTATTTGATGTCCTTAAGGTTACACCAGAAGAATATGCGGTAAGTCTTCCATCGCTTGTTTTCCAGTTTTTGCACATACTTTACGTATTGGTACTATTCAATTAGAATTTGTAGGCCCAACAGAGGAGGTGTTCAAAAAAAAAAAACTGGATGTGGGAATCAATGGGGAGGGTAGCACAACAATGGAGCAAGCGGAGGAATGAAATAGGGAAGGTGAAAAAAAAATCCACTGATAATTTTAGAGAAGCTTTGTAGGTTACACTATCAACTTGGTAAGTAATAGTATTTACCTTTATGATGATTGCTTTTGTCTCTACCTATACCTCCTCCTCAAGCTAAATGTACTTTACTGACAAAGGTAGGAAAGAAGTATTTTTACTTTTTCATAAATTAGAAATTTAAAGTTGAAGGCATTATTGCATTGTCATGAAGGATACCTACAAAAACTTAATTCTTAACAGACAAGTGTTCATTTATTTATGTTATCTTTTTCCTTTAGCTTGTTAGCAGAATATACTGATTTCCTGATATTGAACTCTTACATTCCAGGAATAAACGTCAGTATATTGCTAGATTTTGTTTTATATCTTTAGCCACAAGAGAGAGAGGTCCATAATCACGTGAAGACCTTCAATATGAGTTGCCACTAGTGTAGAGTCAGTTACTTTTTATAAATTGGGGAAAAATACCCTTGTATTATTATCACATTTTATATTACTGTTTGAGCAGATATGATTTAATAGTCACAGCAACGCCACTGCTTTATAAACCAGTAGATCCAGTTTTTGTTTTTTATTTTGATTTAGTGTATGTATTTGGGCTTCCTTGGTGGCTCAGGTGGTAAAGAATCTGCCTGCATTGCAGGAGACCCATGTTCAATCTCTGGGTCAGGAAGATCCCCTGGAGAAGGAAATGGCAACCCACTCCAGTATTCTTGCCTGGGAAATCCCATGAATAGAGGAGCCTGTTGGGCTACAGTCCTTAGGGTCGAGAAGAGTCAGACACAACTGAACAGCTAACACACACAATGTATGACTGTGTTCAAACTTTTAAAATTATTTCTGTTTATTTTGTAACTTTACCTCACTGATCTCACAGGAAAATATAAAAAGGCATGAGACAAATAGAAATAATTTTATTTTATGGTGTAAGGACTAAATTTTCATTTTTTTAAAGCCCTTATAAAATTGGGACTTTTTTCTAGTAAAGATTTGAGTACTCTGTATTTTAGTACAGACTAATAATTTTAATTTCAAATATATGTCATATTATGGTATTCCAAGGAAGAAATTATAAAAATTTTTTACTTTTTATTTCAGGGTCAGATAACACTAATGGATGTTCCAGTATTTAAAGCCATTCAACCGGATGTGAGTAGTTTTAATAACTTCCCTTTAAAATATGCAAAATGGTGAATTATAGTATCTCAAATTGAGAAGTTTTAGAAATGAAAAATTACACTTTATATTAATCTTTAAATGTTTAAAGCTTTTGACATTATTCAGGCTTTGGAAACTCGTGGCATTCATAGCTATACACTGTTGAGTCATAGATGAGGCTGAGTCATTTTGGTTGATTTGGCTTCATCACTTTACTGAAGGGGGGCATAGACTTAGGAAGGTTGGATGATTTACCTGAGGCTTTGAGTCTTTTTAATAGGATAATGGGAGTAAGCTTCTGGGTTTCACAACTCACTTCAGTAATCTTTTCCCTTGTACCTTAATTTTATGACTTTATAATATGACTGTGTGTTCATACTTTGGCGAGAAGAGAGAGAAGGAAGGCATTTTTTGTTTTATTAAGAAGGAGGAGACTAGTATGCATCTACCCACTGTAAGCTATTTATTACACTATGTGTGTATGTATGTTCCTATCGTTGTTACAACCTGAATATGGTAGTGTCTATTTTACTGATGAGAAAACAGAATGACAGTTGTCCCTGATTATAGCTTAGTATTAGAACTGGTTTTCAAACTCTAAAAATTGATGCTTTTTCTACTTTTATTGGGTAAGAATATACATATGACTTTGTATCCCCAAACTAAGTCATGGATAATACTAATATATTCAGTACCTTAAGACAGATATATTTTTAGTTCTTTCAGAACAAAATATAGTGTATTTGTTACAGTATTTTCAAGTCCAATAACATAGCTGTTAGAGAAAGCATCTGTGTCTTCGGTGGCATAGACAGTCCTGTGTTTTTCAAGTTACTTAATGTCTCAATATCTCAAGTTTGTCACTTACAAAATGAAAGCGTGGGCCTAAATGACCTCTGAGTCTTTGTTATATCCACAATTTTTCCCCCCTTTCTCCCTATACCATAGAGGGCACTCTGAAACCATTAGTTTAGCAACAGAGGAAGCAGAACAATCTAGTCTATAAAGAAGACACAAACAGAAAAATTGCTTTTGTATTTAAATTACAGTAACTGAAGTGTTCATTTCCTCACATCTTTGAACAAAACAAAGCAAACTAAATTCTTCATAAAAAGTACAATGTTTTGCCCTAAAGTTCAGTCATCTCTTTTTGTGCATGCTCAGGCACTTTAGTCATGTGTAACTATTTGTAACCCTATGGACAGTTGCCCACCAGGCTCCTCTGTCTATGGGATTCTCCAGGCAAGGATACTGGAGTGGGTTGCCATACCCTCCTCCAGGGAATCTTGCCAACCAGGGATCGAACCCGCATCTTTTATGTCTCTTGCATTGGCAGGTGGGTTCTTTACCACTAGCACTACCTCTTCTCTTTAGACATATTTTTTTTCCTTTTGAATAAACTGCAATTTCTGTATTTCTAGACGTTTCATATGAGATTAGTGCTATCTAGTAGAAATATGTGAACCATTTATATAACTTTACATTTTCTACAAAGTAAAAAGAAACAAGTAAAATTAATTTTAATAATTGTATTTAACTGCAGCATCCAAAATATTACCACTTCAACCTGTGATTGGTATAAAAATTATTGAGACTTTTACTCTCTTTTTTCTGTGCTGAGACTTTGAGATTCAGTGTATATTGTACAGTTACAGCACATCTTGCCACATTGCAGGTGTTCCACAGCCATTTCTGGCAAGGGGTTGGACACTGAAGGTCTAGCAGTGACTGCTTATGGACATAAGCTTCAAGTCAATGGGAATTTTTTGTGAACTTCCTAGAAGTGAACTTCCCTTGACCCCCACTTCCTGATCTAATTTAACACTGATCCTGTTGATTTTTTGTTTTAACCTAAATCTCTTATTTATCCATTCTCTTTCTACTCTGAACACCCTAATCAAAGACACCATGGTAACTCATCCGAATTGTTGCATTGCCCTCTTACCTGATCTGTCCACATCCATCCTGACCCTTCTAAACTTTTTCTACCCAGTAACCAAGGTCATCTTTCAACATGTAAATCTGCTTTCATGATTCTTCTGCTTAGAATGCTTCAGTGGCTTCCTGTCACTCTGAAGATAAAGAGAAACTATCCCAATATTGTCTACAAATCTCTTCTAACTTTTGCCTCTTCCTACCTACTCCAACCTCATTGTCCACCTTTTCCACCTGTTTTCTGGTCTAGCTACAGTGGCCTTTTAGCCCCTCTCACACTGAGCCTGTGTGAATCCTACTTAACTAACTCATGTTCATCCTTCACTTCTCAAGTCAAGTTTGATTTTCTCAGGTGAGCTTTTTTCTCTTCACCCAGGCTCTCCCAGCACTTCCTACTACTTCACTGGACTTGTCAGTTGCAGTTTTACATTTTTGGATTGTGGTTCAATAAGTATTTACTTTGTGTCTGTTCTGTGTCAGATGCTGCCCTTGTGCATCTTACATTTGAGTAAAGTGAGCCAGTAGTGCGTCATGGAAAACGTCAGCCAGCCAGGAGAGGACAGGGTGTGAGGGCAGTGAGAGCTCCGGTTTTGCACGGGGTGATCAGAAGGGCTTCACTGCAAAGCCACCGCCTGAGAAAGACCTGGACGAGATGAGAGAGCCAGCCATGCGCCTGTTTGGGGGGAAGAGCGTTCCAGGCAGACAGAACCCTGCCGATGTGTAGTGCCATAAGTTTCTTTCTTAGTTCTTTGGGGAACAAAATACAGTGTATTTGGTGTGGTATATACAAGTCTACAGTGGCCCTGAATACCTTTCCTTACACCTTTATTTTGTGACTTTATAATATGACTGTGTGTTGTATCTTAGAGACAAGAAAAAACCAAGGCATTTTCAAAAACGAATTAGACTAACATTTATTATGCATCTACCCGCTGTAAACTATTTATTATGCTCACATAAGGGAGAAGGTTACTGGAGTGAGGTGTGAATCCCAGGACAAAGGCCAGTGAACTCAGAGAGTCTAGTAGAAGGTGAGCGGGCCAGATGGCATGGGACCTGGGGAACCATTACTCTGGAAAAGATCAGAAGCTATGGCACAGGTTTTGAGCGAACAAGTGACATTTTCTGATTTGGGTTTTAAGTAGCTCTTCCTGACTACAGACCAGGGTGTGTGGGGAAGCAAGCATGGGAGTAGGGAGGGGCAGGTACCAAGGACTGAATCGAGGAGACCAGGTGAGCGACGAAGGTGACTTGGTCAGGGGGTGAGGGGAGGTGGTGCTGAGTTGTCAGGCACTGTATGCTAAAGAGGAGTCAAGGATGATGGCAAAACTTTTGGCCTGACACCTGAACCATTTACTCCATAGCCTTTGAGATGGAGAATGGTTAGTATTGTGTTCATAGCTCCTGGGACTGCCATTTATAGGGAGCAGAATATGAAGTGTAGTCTGGAGAAAGGCCAGAGGAGCAGATTTTGAAGGAACAGCTTGAGTTTGGCTTTGGACATGTTTAGTTTTACATGTGTGTTGGACAGCCAAGGAGAATGTTGAGTTAGGTAATATATACTGTATTTATATATATATGTATATGTATATATGTATATGTATATATTTTTCCCCCCGTTCAGGCTGGAGATGTAAGTTTGGGAGTTGTCAGCGTAGAGATACTTAAAGCATGGGTGAGATTACCGAGAGTGAATATACTTGGAGAAAAGAAGGGACCTATTTATTGTTGAGGAGAAGCTAGCAAAAGAAATTGAGATGCAGCACCTGGCGATTTAAGAGGAAAACTAGGTTAGTGTGAAATTCAGTGAACCAAGTGAAGGACATATTTTTAAGAAGGAAGGAGTGATCAGGTGTAAAGTGATGTTAATCCTGGGCTTATATGTTTATTGCTTGCTACTTCCACTAGGTTTTAAGCTACATGAGGACACTTAGGACAGATACTTTTACTATTTTATCAGGCATGTAGTGGAAACTCAATACTTAGAATGAGAAAATGAACAGTGTTTAGTGTTTGTTCAACGAGAGAATTTTTTTTTTCTTTTCAAAATTGAAGCAGTAACTCTTGGAAGAAGCAATGTACCACCAAAATATTTTTGTCATATATCCATCTCATATAATCTTCAAGATTACATTAACTCTGGCAGCGTCAACAGGACTTTTTCACCTGGCATAAAAACATCTTTGATTTATCCTGGGATATTTAAGACATGTAATAAGATGTAAAGTGTAACAAGATGAAACTGTGTACCTACCTAGCCAAGTACTGTTGAAGCCAGTCTGCGTCCTTCTATATTCACCTGTCTTCCCTCCTCCCACCAGAGGAACCACTATCCAGTATTGATCTGTATCATTACTGTGCATTTAGTTGTTGATTTTCTATAAGTGTATGTTCTCCCTTAGCAGTATTTGCTTTTGCAGGTTTCAGATTTTTTATGTATGGTATCCTGTGATTTTCTTTTTTGTCTATTTATGTCCAACATTGTTGACTAGCATCCATGTTTATACTCTAGTGCGTTAATTACTGAGTTGTAGCACATTAACATCCTTAAGTTTATTAAATACTGCCAAATTGTTTTCCATATTGTTTGTACAGATATTATTTGTTTATTATGTAAAACTCTTGCTATTGATAACTTTAACAAAAGATTTTTGAAGTCATGATGTTGTTCAGTCTAATGTATTAGTCTCATTTATTAGCATAAAATGAAGTCTCTCTTACTATGTAGTCAGAATATCAACTTGACTACCAAATGAATTATTTTTGTTAAATCCAAATTTAACCTCAGATATGAAAAAACAGTGGTTATCACTGAACCAAATAAATTTATCGTCCATTATACCAATGTTCAAGTCTCTATAATTTTATATAAAGCTTTAAAAACTATATAATATATAAAATGAAGCTGTTTAAAAGATCATTAGTTACACTAAAACTGTTTTAGTCAAAACTCAGTATTCTGTGTATATATCCACATGTAACTTTATTTCAGAGGATGATTTATTCACATTTTCTGAAATAAAATATTCTAAATTTGAGCTTTGAAGAATGTAGAT